TTGCTTGCTGGTTCGGGTCGTTCATTGACTCCCCTTGCTGCTGCAATCGCGGGCTCACAGCCTTTCCCTTGCCCTTCCCCTTTCCATCTCCATTTGCATTTCCATTATACTTCTCCCCACCCTGGGGCCCGTCCGTTGCCGGCCACGCATGATCCTTGCCCTTCCCCCGTTCAGTAGTAGCACTCGCCGCCTTGTTTTTGCTCATGGTGAGTTGCTTCCTCGCCTGGCGTTGACTCTCCTCAGCAGCCTGGCGATCTTCCCACGCTTCGTAGACATTACCCGCCACACCAGGACCCCAAACTCGCCGGCCGCAGGCCTCGCAGGTGGAGCCTTTAGGACGCCAACCTCGCTGGCGGAGTTGGACGGCTTGGCTTACACTCACAAAAAGACTGCGTTCCAAAAGCCGGTTTGAGAGGCTAAGGATGGATTCTTCGTATGCGTATGCGGCGAAGATACTGGAGAGAACTGAACGGAGATCTGCAAGGTTAGGCGACGACGCCGCGGCGCGAGTGAGGAACGCGCGAAGAATACGGAGGAAGGATAGATTGGCGTTCATTGCTGGAGGCTGTATATCACCCGTGTCTGCTGCAGATCGAGAGGTGCGGGTTGATGTGGATGAGAGGAGGGCTGTAAAGGTGTCTTGCACGAGCGATCGTGCCAAGGTGACAAGCTTTTCTGTCTCCAATGACACAAGGATAGATTCACTGCTGGGGTGAGAATCGCCGTTCATAAGCTGTGCTTGTGTTGAATCATCTGGTGGTGGTAGCTGCAAGGCTGAAGTAGCCCGCTTGGTGATCTGTACACAGCTCTCAACCAAGCTGAGCCAGAGTTGCTCGTCGGGCGAAAGCTCGTCTTCGGAATTTGATTTGTGCCGTTGACGTGTATTACCACTCTCTCGAGCGGCTTTGGTTTGTTCCTGACACAGCCAAACGCCCACACGAGTGTAGTTTTGCAAAGCCTGCATAAGTTCCTCCGTACTTTCTTGGGAATTGAGATCTCCTTGCGACTGAGAGGCGGTTCCGGTCAATAGACCGTATAAGGCTGATTCAAGAGTTTCCAAGTGTCTCGTCAGTCGCGCCATGGCCTCCTTCACTTGTCCTTCTTTCGCCATCAGTATGACGGCAGCGTCAATTACACCCGTCTCTTCCATTGTAGGCAGTAGCTTCTGTAACCTCAAGTTCGTAGCTTGGACTTTATTTACGTATTCCGGTACATGTGATGGTTCAAACCGGCACATGAGCTCCAAATACTGCTCCACAAGATCCTGTTGAGGCGGACGGACGTTCATCACCTCCTTGCTTGGCTCCAGTATCGTCTTCAGATAAGTGTACCGAAGGTGCGGCTGCTCAGAAACGGAATCCAGGACGTGACTGTGCAACTCTGGAGCGTAGGGCCCTATTGCTTGCGCCGCTCTAACAGAGTCAATCTGGACCAGTTTACCGGCGTGATCCTTAATGACCTGGTGTACGTCCTGTATCTGGCGACGGGTAAGACCTGAGTGCGGTCGGAGACAGAGTTCGATACAGTCAAAGATAGCTTCCCGCTCATTCGGGTCTTCGAAGTAGGTCAGAGTCAATTTCCCATACTGTTTGTCTGCTTTGTATATACGCTTCAGTATCCGATAAAATCCAGCCTCCTTGAACCGCGGTATCAAGTCGGGTAGATCTGGGGGATGATAAACTGAAAGTAAATATTCGGCGCTCAGTTGGGCGTCCTCGGCAAGGTCACCTCCTGGATATTGACACAGCTCGACCAGGACTTTGGTAAGTGTCGATCCCGTGAAAAGAAGGTATTGCGGGTACTTGGGAAGGTTTCTGGCAATAAACATATCGAGATAGATAGTGTCTTCCTTGGCAAAGTCTGCCGAACTCATTATCTCCATTAAGATGGAGGTAATGTACTGCCTGTCTACCGTCAGCCCGAATATTTCTTCCTCTGGAAGATCACGACTTGGGCCACCAGCAAGCTGCTTTTCGGGTGAATCGTTCAAGAAAGAGTCTTCAAAGGCCTCGTTGAGCACGCTCAGGAAGCTGGGTGCGTCAAAGTTGAGAATCATCCTCAAATAGGGGAAGGATGGTTCTTGAGACTGTTCTGGTTGCGTAAGCAGTCTCTTGCTACTGCCCTTAGGCCAGCAGATACTTTTGCCGGAAAAGAGAAACCAGTAAATCTCCGCTTTAGCCTTTTGAGCTATAACATCAGGAATTGTCTCCCCAGTAGGATAGGTCTTCCCGGTCAGTATAAACGACAGGTATGGGAAGATCTTCAGTGCATTTGTTTCTCTAGTTTCGTTCTCCAACACGCTTGTTGTGCCATCTGCATGCCCGTTCTGCATCAAAGGTACCAATAAGGCCAGCAAGTCAATGAATGGGGTGAGATAGTCGTTTAGGGCTTGGTTCCACACGTAAATTAATGCATCATAGAGGCCATGCTTTTTGCAAAGCGTCGTGACTTGATCGAGATCTAGGGTTGAGGTGTCCATGTGGCAGATGATGTCTTCGAGCCTGGTTTCGAGCCCGTTGCTGACGAAGTGAGCGACCAAAGCTTTCACAACTGCGGGCGGGATGGCCGTAATCGAACCATCGATGATGTATGGTTCAAGGGTCTCCAAAAAGACGCCTTCCAGACCGGCTTCTTCATACCATTCGTACATCTCGTCGAAGAGGAAGTCGGTTTTCCCGGCGTTGTGAGAAGCTATGAAGCATGTTTCAGCCAGTTCCCGAAGGTGCTTATCGTCTCCTGCTTCTCGGCGTTTTGTTCTCTGCCCAAATGCATATTTGAGAGATGCGCTCATGATCTCCACGAGTTTATCAATGACCATGGAATGTCTCAAGGCCGTATCCTCCGGTAAGCCAACAGTCAGCTTGTTGGCGTCGCCCGTGTAGTAAGATGTCGCAAGTCGAATAGCACCAACATAGTCACCGCTTTCCATCAATGCGAACAGCCGATCTGCCCAATTAGATAGGGCGCCTAACGAAACATCGGTAAACCCAAGTAGAAAAAGCCGGCCTTTATAAGCTTTAAAGCTCATATAGAAGGCATCAGCAACGACACCGTGCATGGTAGGATCTTCATCGTCAAGCTGCTCGACCAGAGCGTGAAGTTGCTTGGAGAAAAGATCAGCATGGTAGATGTGCTTGTGTATAAGGTCGAATGCTTCAGTCATGCGCATGGTTCGATCCTCTAGCACAATGAGCCTCTGAGTGATGGTGAGGACTGTCAACACAGACCGGCTCAGCCATTGTACAGCAACAATTGGCTCTTCGCATTTCCACCGGTTTCGGGGTCTGAATCTGAGGGTTGGCGGTTTATCCTTGTTTTCTGCTGGCTCCTCTTCCACCTCAAGGACCGTGAGGACATTTGACCAGCAGTAGACGAGCTTGACCTTGGACACGATGCTGCCAGTAAGAGGATCTGGCACCTTCAATCTCACTGCAGGGAACCAAGCTAAACATCCCGTCATGGCGCTATGTGCAGTCATTTCCTTTGGACGCGCAGATTTATGTTGTGTTTGAGCAACAGGCGTAGTGGAGACGATGACTAGCAAGTATGGGGTGAGCATGGCTGTCAAGCCCATGGAATCTGTGGCCATCTCAACGTTTCCTAGAGGCAGAGATTGGAAGGCAAGCACGGTACTGGGCTTAAGTGTCTTCCCAACAGGCGGAGGAGCGTCTGGATACCGGCCGAGAATTCGAGTAGTTTTGACAGTCCTGCCAAGTGATCCGGTACCCCGTGTAGCAAGGTGAGAGAAGGCCATCCCTCGGTCATCAGCAGATACCAGGGCTGTGTGTCGGGTCCCCAGAAAGCCCAAGTGTGTTATCGCAGCATTGGGGACATGTCCGTCCGTTGATCTCTGCTGAAGCTGGGGTAGATGTGGAATACTGAGGAACGGTCGTGAAGGACGGGTGGTATCCCATGTAAAGATATTTCCATTGGCATGTCCGCCTGCAATTGTCGTGTGGTCTGCAGAAATTGCTAGAGATACCACGGCACCTGATTCAACAGCTGGGGGGCTGGTCAACAACAGCATCAAGCAAGGTCCATTTAGGGGGAAAGCGCAAACCTTTTGTTCCCGGCCCAATGATCATCTTCAAATTTTGGTTGAAATCGAACACTAGGATGACTCCTTTTGACGTTCCCAGAACAATCGAGGCAGACACGGCCAGGCATGTTGGAGAGCCAAAGTTCCTCCTCCCAGATTCGGAGAATGCTAAGCCATCCAACTTCAGTAACTTTGTCCAGCGCACAACTTCCCAAGGAGGGGAGCTTGATTCGGTTTCGCTGGAGTCGAGTAGTAGATTGCTCGTAACGGATAGCGTCCTGCTATGGCCCGCCAGGAATGCGGGCGAGGAAGGCCGTGGAGAGAGAGTACCAGGCGAGCCAAAGGAGGAGAACCTCCTATCAAAGGGTCTGAAGGAGGGTGTTGGGCCTCTTAACCCGGGACGGAGTGCCAAAGACGGTACAATGTTGCTGCTACCCGGAGACGAAACGACGGAGCCCTGTATGCGCCATCATTAGTCGGACACCTCAAACACCAGAACAGGCATCACGAACTTGTGCGGAGGGAGAGTCTCCAGAAAGCGTAGGAAAGGACTCAAGAGGGCTTGCGGCTGAGCGCAATACTCCATCTACAGAACCGTCCTCTGAGGTTGTCACATCGTGTTCGGCCTCGACCAGCTCGCGGTAACGGTTCGCTATGGCACTCGGCGCAATCGGAGTAAGTGCGATGGGGGATGCCGCTGTTGGCTGATCTCCCACTTCCTCCCCATCTACACCCGTAAAGGTGGCCTGGTCGTCCTCGTTTTTTTGTCGGGAGATTTCATCGCCGCTCAAGCTTTGGGCGTCGGCTGGACCAAGATCGGGTTCGTCGGCCATTATGTCGTCCACTGACCCCTCCTCATCCCGCCGCGGTGTGTTCACGCTCATCGGGGATAACCAAAGCAGCGCATGTTTTCAGTACAGTCGGTGTATTCGCCCAAAAGGTGTGCGACCTTTGCCCTCGTGGTAATCTTGAACGTAATGTTTTCAAGTCTGCCCAACGGTGGCGCTCTCGTAGTTGTAGTTGTAGGTAATAGCTCTCGTCTTCCAACTTGATGGATGATGGATCTAGGCACCCAGGTACCTCTAGTGAACGACGCCGGGTGGAAATGATGAACGGCGAATTGGAGATACAGAGGCTTAGTGGCGATTGGCAACTCCAAACCAACTACACAACCCAGAGTTTGTCGGATTTCTGCGCATTCGTTTGTCGATGAGGTGACTCCAAGGCGCAAGACGGGATATCGACGGGAGCTTCCTTCAGCTGCTGGACCGAGTCACTGCAAGGAAGTGGAAGCTTCAGGTAGCTCGGTTCTGGGCTCCATGACCACTCACTCACTGTCTGGCCTGCCATGTGCCAACGTCAACAGTGAGGTTGGGCGCCCGATAAAACCCCCGCAAGCTAGAGGTAGAGGTACTTACAGGTACCAGGGGCGCTCAGTGTGTGCAGCAGTTATCGATAAGACCTTATCACCTCAGGGACAGGCTTGCATCATAACAACAGTAGCGACAATTTGATCCGTGTTTCCATCCTCGCCTTCCCAACTTAACGGCCACCGACATCTTTTAGTTTACACATCTACAATCTTAACGCTTGCGCCTGACACTGTCAACTAGAACTCTACCACATAACCTACATCGTCACCGCGAGGCATGGCATCCATCGGCCCCCAACTCCCTCCCCATCTCCAAAAGCGCAAACGCGACTCCAAAGACGAAGAGTCAGCCTCTCCTCCGACCAAGATATCGCGACCAGACAGCAACCCAGACGAACTCCCACTTGATGATGATGATGATGATGACTCCGACAATGACTTTGGGCCCAGTGCACCCAATCCTAATCGCCCATATTCTGCATCTAGCATTGGCCCATCTGCTGCACCACCGCGACCATCAATAGGCCCTTCCCGACCACCCAATCCATCGGAGGAAGACGAAAAGAGTGTTGCAAAGCCCACCACACAACCGATCGGTCCCTCTCTTCCACGACCACCACCCACAACGACGAACATCGATGAAATTCCCCTCGAAGATTCAGACGGTGATAATATTGGTCCTGCCGTAGGATCATCAATAGGCCCAACCGCACCTCCCGCCTCCGCCGCTTCTGCTGCTCCCAAGCGTATCTACGGCCCCGCCTTTCCACCCGCCGACCTCTCTGAGCGTCCAACCACGGATCCCAATGCCGACTCAGACTCCAACTCAGACTCGGATTCAGACGATGGCTACGGCCCCGCCCTCCCCGGCTCACGACCAGCCGCCAGCTCAAAGAATAGCCACGGCAGTGGTCCCCACTTCCCTTCCTTCGCCCAGCAACAAGATCGAGCCGAAGAACTTCAAGCCCCCAAGCGCGACGACTGGATGATCGCACCGCCTACCAGTAGTAGCTACCGTGCCCCAGACCCGACAAAGCTCAAGTCGCGCAAGTTCGCTAGCGGGCGCTCTGCCGCCACGGAAAAATCAAGCGGAGTAAGCAGCATATGGACGGAGACGCCTGAAGAAAAAATCAAGCGGTTGGCAGCGGCGGTGCTGGGTCGGGAAGACCCGTCATCTACTGCCGCCTCTTCCTATCCCTCTTCAAAAACTGCCTCTGTCTCAAACACTGTCGGGCCAAAAAACCTGGATGAAGAAAGGGTCCGTTCCTATACTGAACAAACGCGGGGACGGAGTCTAGTGGAGGAACACCAAGCTGCCATTGCGGCGGGAAAGAAGAAACTGACCTCGAGTTCTTCTGCGCCTAGCAGACCGGCGAACAAGTATGGGAAGCAGGATGTTGATGATGAAGATGACCCGAGCAAGCGGGCGTTTGATCGGGAGAAGGATATGGCGGTTGGAGGCAGGATTAGCCATACGCAGAGGAAGGATCTGTTGAATCGCGCGGCGAATTTTGGGGATCGGTTTCAGTCTGGGAAATATCTATGAGGAACTCGGACAGCAAGGGCTGGTTTGGGACTTTGCTTGGTTATTTGTTGTCCTCTCAGTGCCAACGAGCTTCCCGTAGTGTGACGTGCCTCTGGATGAGTTCAAGAAAGAAAACGCCTAGAATGAGGCGCGAACTTTCTGTACATTTTAAAATGTATCACGAATAACTGAACGAAATCCGTGACAACACAGAAAGCTTCGGATTGACTCGGAATGATTCATCGCATCTTCATTACACTCAAGCCGGCTGAATCTGGCTCCATTCACTCGTCCCTATTTCTCCAAAATTTCCAGGTGCGCATGTCCATGAAAGGTGCCGTAGTCAATTTATAATCAAAATGTCCGCTCAACAATGAGGTGAGGTCTCCAATATCATCCAATGTACAAAATAAACCAAGATTCCATCCCAATAAACTCCATGCTATCCCATCCCTTCCCATCAATAACAACCAAAGCCACACACGCCCATCGTGGAGCACCACATTCCGGCCAACCGACCTTATATGCACCGAGACCAATACACACTGCTATGCATCTTGCGCACTGACCTGCTCGCTTTGCCAAATTTGCAAACCATGATTGTCATACGAAAAGATCGTATGTAACATTCTGCTCGAACCGGCAGCGTCGTTCATCGTGCATCGTCCTTTCAGTTTCGTCCCTTATGCATAAATCCAACCCGATCGCTGGTTGCTGCTGGAGGGCAGAGGTGCTCCCCGCAGCAACACCACTTCATTTCTCGGTTGATACTACCAATGGACATCGGCAACGGATAATGTAAAACTCGAGATGCGGCAGGTAAAGCAGACGGATATCGGTGTAGATATCAGCTTCGCACAGAGCGGCGTAGTCACCAGTCTTTCAAATTCGTGTCGCCGGACTTAATTCGCCGCAGGTCGGACTCCCGCTTCAAGATTAGCAGGCGTCATAGTTGGGTTGGAATTTGCGTCCGCGATGTGCCCCCCGTTGCTGCGACGAAAGTGGGGGAATGCAGCCCTAAGATTTGCAAACACACTCCCGCCCTCGGCACGATCCGAAGAAGCTTGGGGTGAAGAGCCGGGTTGACTAGAAGCACCGTTATTGTCCCGTCTTCGCTCACCATGACGCCGCCGAGACCCTCGTTGATCATTGCTGGACACCACATACACCGTCCTTGCTGGACGACCCAGGCCGAACAAAGCACGTCTCGGTCTGTTTGGCAGGTTCATACGATTGGATCGTGGGTCGTTGGATAAAGTGACATGAATCACGCCAGGCTGGCCATCGACTGGTTCGCCGGCTGCGCGTGGCTTAGGAGTGTAGTAATCGGCCTTGCACAACGGACAGCATGCTCGCCTGCTCGTCAACCATGGGTCAAGGCATGCCGCGTGGAAAGCATGTCCACAAGTCAACCCACGCACGTCGTCGTCGTCTTCCAAGGTGTCAATGCAAATAGCACAGGTGTCGCCAGAGGTGCCCTCGCACTCCGGCGGCAATGCGGCGTCAATCGGATCCTCCTCCTCTTCGCCCTCGTCGTGCGAAACCCGTGCTTCCTTCGGTGGCGTCGTTGCTTCTGAGACAGCATGGGTCAAAGGCACAGTGCTGGAGGTGCTCTCCTTGGCTTCATGTTGTGGAGTTTTCGGATCCCGATCAGCAGGTTCGACTTGGCTTGTCGTTGGCCGGCCCTCGGTCGACATACGCTCCTTGTTCGGCAACTCTCGAGAGATAGCGTCCGCGTCATGAATACTATTCGGTCGGCTGGGCGCTGAAACGCCACCGCTGGTGGGTAGACCATCCCGCGCTCGACTTGCGACCCAAGTTTTGTACTTGAGCATGGGGAATTTCTCGTTGACTTCGTCTATTGTCATTAGTTTCTTCTCACGACGGCGTCGGTGCGGCCGAGGCATGGCCTCCAGGTTAATCTGGTCGCCCTCCTCCGCTAGGCGCATTTGACGAGTTCGAGCATTGTATCGAAAGCAGTACTTGACGCCCACAATGATCCTGCAGCCCGGGTTAGCTGCCCATTTGACAAAACATGGCGAGGCACACCAAAAACCCACCAGAGGTTGGTAAAAACGACACCGAAACCCAATGCCACAAAAAACAAGAGCGGCGACGACCCTCCTTTTTCATCCTTTGAATCGGTATCCCCGGATGCGGAATTGGAAGTGGCGGATGGAGGAGTGACAGTGGGCGATATTGATGTTAATGAAGCGGTTATCACAGATGAGCTGCCGCTTGTCGAAATTGCTGAGGCCGTCGCCGACGCTACTGTCGAGGTAAGTATCGAAGTACCAGTTTCGGCGACCTGCCTCGCCACGGCGCGCGCCCCTTCCAATATGGCTGGATTAACAAAAACAACCATTTTGCCGACTGCCGACAGATGAGATGCCGATGAGATTCGAGTGGCGACGGGGTACGAATTACTGTCGCAGGGTGTCCATTAGGTAGAGATTGAGTAGCGCACGCAGCCGTCACCAGTCCGTGGAGAAACCCGCTGTGTCCTTAGTTTGCCAGAGCTCAGAGAACAAGGAACGGTTTGCCGAGGACAAGAAGAAGGATGAGCGAGGTCGAGGGCAAAATGCGCAAAAGCCTTTCGGAAGGCTTGGGGAAATGCTGACGAAGGGCTACCAAAAGCAACGTAAGCGGGTAGGACGCCCGAGGCGAGGGCTGATGTATGAATGGTTGATGGAAGCCGGAGGTTAAAAGCGTGATAAGCCCGGAAGGTGGAGAAGAGTGACCTGCTGAGCGGCAAAACGATGTGAACTTGCAGAGGGAAGGTGCAGGTGCAGCGGCGACTCGAGACTGCAGCACCTACCTATGAGCGAGAAAGGTAATTGAAGTGAAAGTGTGCAGTGAGAATGGAAAGTGGTAAATTGTTAAGGCTCTGCAGCGCACGGTCAGTCGCCAGGCCACCACAAGCGCTAAAGTGGGAAGTGTTGGTCGTGGGTGATTGTCGAAACGGGGAATTCCCGAGATTGTTGCGCACTGCTGGTGCCAGCATGGAGCAGAATGGGGAAAAGGATACGAAGTGGAATGGAGGATGGGAAAGCGCTACCTACCTCTACGTGTACCTCAGCTGTATGCCAGGTGGTTGTGCACTATTCAAATTGGGTCTGGGTTTGCAAGAGATTTGCGAGATCTGTGTGGTGTAAAAGCATGGAACTAGGTGCTTTCAGTGAGACTGAAGACGGGAACGAAACTTGCATGTCGAATCCTGGTTTCATTATTCATCCATTTGACTCGATCTACACACTTGCCCGGCTGCCGGTTACGTTGAACGCGATTCGATCCTCTTGTCCTCGATCCACGGTGTCAATGACAAGACGATTCCACGCATCCTACAGTGAAAGTCTGCCCTTTCACAATCGCTTTTGCTCATCATGTGCATGGCAAGCGTAGTAAGTCAAAGCAAAGCCACAGTGACGGGGCTGGGGGACACTGGGGGATTGGGGCATGCTTCCACTTGCTTTTTCCCCTTGGTCACAAAAGGGTCGCTCGACACTGCGATGGAGGGGTGGGTCGAATTGTCGAAGGTCTTCACCCCCGGAAGAGACGGACGGGATTGGCGGGGCCTCTGGAAAAGGAAAACAGGGCAAGAGGGCAGCAACGAAGTCGACAGGGATGGCCGCTCATCTGTGCTTTATAACTTCCATTCGGATGACTTGACCAGCCGAAGCGACTGAGGCATGCAATGATGTTGCAAGGGTACGGGATGACGCACTGCCGCCTTGTCTCTTAACATGCTGCATTCAGTCTTCACCGTCCACGTGGAAGGGCGGGCTATATGTACACATCAAGTTGCTCTGTCGAGAGTTTCGCTTGCAGACCTCCACGCTATGGTGCTGGCCATGTATATGCACCCTGGTGCAGAGTTGCAGACGTGCTTAAATTCTGGGGTACTTTGCAGTCCACCCCCGCCTACCCCAACATCTTGGCACCCTGCATCTCTCTTTGTTCGGATATCTTTTTCATCATTTCTATATCATCCCGTCCGGGCATCTCAAGGATAGTTGTGCGGACAGCTTGTGGTTGGGCTTGTAGCATCATCCCAGAATACTACCATCTATTTCCCCTGAAGGAACTTCCATGTTCCGTTACGAAACATGAGGTTTCTGGTTTCGTCAGGGTGTCGCATGTCAAACTTGGTTCAGAGACCTTCCAGACCTCTTTGGCTGAACGGTCGTCTTTCATCATGCACCAGGGGGGCCCAAGTGCACCTAAATGCCAACTTGACAGAAAGAAAGTTGGCGATCTCATCCAGCTACAACATAGGTACCCACGCAGGGCACGCTCTCCGCGGCTTTGCAATCTAGAGGTAATACTGGTCTGTTTGTTAGCTTGGTACCTCGGAACTCCTAGGTGCACTGGATGAGATATCTTCCCAATTGTCCTAAACCTTTCAAAACTAAATAAGTGGCTGAGCAGGGATCCCGAAAGGCATCAACAAGATCCAATACGGTGTACATGTGTATTTATTTTGGAAAAAGCATCCCAGGGAAGTTGACCCGAGGTCTCGAGCTAAGAATCAAACTAGTACGTATTGGACTGCAACATGAGGGTCAAAAAGCACAGCCAGTAGACGATACTTCAACCTGATCAATTTCCTCTCTGAACCTCACAATTACACGGGCCTCGCACGGCGGCATGATAAGCGCGGGGATACCCATCAGACCCTCTAGCTTTTGCGACTAGGCGACGTGAAATCTAAACCTGAAACATCCCCGTTGTTGGAGATGTTCAATGATCTTTGGGATGCCCATCACTTTCGGCTATCTCCGCAGAGGTAAAATAAGGTTGTCCTGGTCTTCCATTTGAATGAAGATGTGGGAGAGGCTAAATACCGACAAGATGCCCAGCACCAAGCAAAAAAGTTCCATCACGTTTGAAGTTTTACGCCGAGCGCCTGTTTAAATGGCACCGGTCTTTTTCTCTGCTGCAACCTCTGTCACAACCACCGATCTTATTCATCAATTTTGCTCGGTACAAAAAGCGCCATCCTTGAGCGAAGAACAGCGTCTTCTTGAACGATTCAATCAAATGACAATCCCGTGGATACAACACTCAACCGTTCCGTTCCCTTCTCCCACAAAACAAACAGTTGGCAGAAAACGAATAAAAAACTTGCCTTTTCCCCCATCTTTCCGAGAAACGTGACGGGTGTGTGAGACTCTGGCTTTCGGACTCCATAGCATGCTTATGTCTGAACGTTACAGTCCACGGTTACTTGGGATCTTCGTGACAGAAACCTTTGCCGTGAGAATACTTCCTTGAGGTATCGGACTTTGTTGTTCTCCCCGACCGGTTTAGATACGGACTCGTCAGATTTAAAGAGAAGCCAGCACGTTCATATTTTCGCACGTGCTCCGATTGTAGAAACGGTCGGAGACATGTCCAAGGACCTAAGATAACCAACGCATCGATCGGATCACCATCCCTAATTCATCTCGATCTCCATATCGTCAACCTCGCGCTCAAAGCATAAGTAGTGCTCACTAGAACATACAGCCAAGACCAGCCCAGTCTTTTGACCTTCCCATCCCGTCTTTTCGCGGTCTTTCTGGGCGAGTTGGGCAATAGCTCAGCCTCCTTTGGCCACTCCACGACGCGCGCAACAACCTCTTGGCTGGGTCTTAGCATTGGTCGTGAGCAGACTATGCGGACAACCTGACAGTGGTATTAACGTGGGGTTCTAGATTTTGGTAACGAGAAAAAAAAAGAGATAAAGGACAAAGAGACATTGTGACAAGGTTGGGAGGAGCCAAATTCACAAAAGAATGTTTTTTTTTGATCCGACCCAGGCTCGATCTGGGGACCTTCAGTGTGTTAGACTGACGTGATAACCAACTACACCATCGGACCAATTGATACTCAGAGTTGCAAGGTTAGTAATTATAATCTTAGCAAGAGAGAGTTCTCTTTGGTTGTTCGAATCTCGGACTTTCTGCAATCGTTGAGCATCAGAGGTTGAGGAGCTACAGTTCATAAATACTCACATTTTGCCGACTATTATGAAACACATTCTTTTGATGGTACCGTGAGTGGGTGGCGGAAGATCATGAGGCATAGAAAACAGAATGCGCCAGGAACCAGAAGCACAGCCTCTTCTATGGTCAGCATCACCGAGTCCAGGTGAGGATTTCGGCGCGAAAGTGAGGCATCAGCTATAACAAGAATATATTAGGGCCAATGGGTCTGTTCCTCAAGGTCCCACAAGTCGAATATTTCATTTTCGGAAGTTGTGTGTACAGCGCACAATGACGTGCCTAACCACACCCGGAGCCTGATCTGTCGTCTGGTCGCCGACCGCTCGGAGCATTCACTTCTCCAAGGTCAAGTAAACTTTGACCTCCACTTCATTTGACCAGCCAGCCTCGAGGCCCATCTCTTTCCATGCGGATTCTATGTCAATGTCGAGGACGTGGCTATCCATCCTGTTGACAGTTACCGTATGGGGCGGGATGGGCTGGCCCTGAATTGTGACCATGAATTCGTCTTGGATGGACAAGTCCGGAAGGTGGGATATGTAAATGCCTAAACACGGTGAATCGTCAGTCACGCTTCATCAAGTCGTTCCGAAAATTCTCACCTAGTACACCCAAGGCCTTCAGCCTGGTGCTTATGAACAACCGCCCGTTCTCGAGCAGATCGGAGCTGTGGTTCAACATAGCAGCGCATCCGGTCATCTTTCCCACCAGCCCCAGGCTAGCCACGTATACACGACCTCTGCTCTCGGTTTCGTAGAGTGACAAGGGAAAGACGGAAAGAATGTCGTAGCCGCCATTGTCGAGAGATGCCGTCAACAGAGAGGCAGATGAGGTTGTCTGAACTGGCACGGTCACCTTTCCACTCTGATGAGAACGTACCACGTACCACATCGATGGCAGGACGCCCGAAAATCGGGCAAGAGGGATTAGTTCTGTGAGCGGACGGCCCGATACGTTGAAGATGCCCATGATCGGAGTGCCCGTGACCGCCCTGCCGTTGTAAGCGCTTATTTTGAGCAGAGACAAATCATCGTAGTTGACATATTGGTCAAGGCTACGACCAAGCACGCTGGGACGGAAAATGACAGTCCTGCCTCTTGGCGTCACACCGGTCATCTGCTTGATCAAATCGAGGTCGTACTGGCCGGGAACATCTGTGATGTAAATGGGACCGCCGCTCACACAACGTGCGGCAGCGTGAAAGCCGGCATATGCGCCAGTAGTTTGGAACATGTCCCAGTCTGGGAGGATGTTCAGATGTTGGGTAAGCAAGCTGTTGTGAGCATTTGCCCAGACATGCCAGGGATGAGAAGATGGGACGTCGGGGAAAAAGTCATCCGAGTTCCTGCAAAGCATCGTGGGCCGTCCCCGGGGAAGTTGTGTATGGAAGATGATCTGAGGAGACATGGACATGCAAGATATGGCTCTCCCGCCAAAGTACCGAAGAGATGCGAGCAGCCAGTTGTCTAGGTACGGTTGGATGAGTTCGCGTCGGACCTTTGGCGATACCCAAGTGTCAACCATGAACTGCGCATCGGTCTTGACTCCCGCCACACCACTCTCGGAGAGAAAACGATAAAAGTCATCGTAGAACTTGTGAACATCCTCCTTCGCGATGACTGTCATCTTGCCGCCAAGGGGAATGTTCTTACGTGAGCTATCTTCGCCACGCACAACCTCGATTGTCCTGTAGCGTTTGGCAAGATTACCATCGGGTGCTATGCCTGCCCAATACCCTAGAAGGGCATGCCACACAGCAACGTGCTCGATATTCTTGTGCTTGGATCGTATTTCGGAGACCAGTCCTGTGAGACCATTTGGAAAGGCTTTAGGTTCAGCCTCGAAATCATTCCAACCTTGCTGCCATTGATCTCCATGGTAATCAATATCTTGCCAATTGTCATCAATGATCAGGTTGCTGATGTTGATGTTGTTATCGGCCAGAGCATCTACTGCCGTTATAACCTTTTCCGCCGTCAACCTTTGGCCAAGGGCATTCCACGTGCCTACGTACTCATGTTAGACTGCATCATGGGCATATTGACCACTTTCACACTCACAATAGCCCAATCCATCATACCAGTTCTCGTACCAGTTAGCCTCGACATTATCACTAAGCTTCTCCAGCTTCGTTGGAGACTCTCCAGCTCTGTCAGCCGTGCTGACGAGGCCGCGAGCGTGGTACATAACAGCAGCATTGGCACTCTCAAAGTTGTCGCCAACCGCTACCAAAACAGTACCGCTACCGGCTTTCGCGCTATCGTTCCGAACCTGGCCATCAAGGTTAGTTGGTGATGGTTGTATATTTGTATTGTGATTGTAGGCCTACATGGATGGTCACCCGTCCAAACTCGTCGTTGCGAAACAGCGTCATGCCATCGACGGCATTGTTGATACCGGCGAAACCCAAAAGGACCAAGTGTTTGCCCTTGCTGGAGAGAAACGAACAAAGTAGTGCGTCTTTATCGAATTCAACAGTCGATCTTCCCTGTCTCGGAGCAAGCCAAGGTGACCAGTCTCTGACCAAAGCGAACCACCTGTCGTCGCTCTGATCAGCACCTGGACATGATTGTAAACACCGGCTATCGCAGGAGCCCCGAAATCCTTACCTCAGAAACCCTCCCCAAGGAATGCCGAGCGGAACATGGGTGAAAGTCGAGTTATCGTCGTCTTGAGCCCCGTCCACGGGAACCTCAATGGTCCAGAGTCGAGTCCCGGGACATTGGCTTAGATGAGGACTCCATTTAAGAGATGGGTTCAAGCCGTGGATCAGATCTGGCAAGTCCTCATCATCGCTGCCTTCTGGCGCTCCAACATCGACCACAATGTAGCCATCACCTAGACCCTGTTCGTTGCGGACCCATCTCCAATCATGGTCAGGTCCCTGGCGGAACTTGGCGGTGAAGTTCAACGTTGACTGCACGGTTAAATTGACAGCAAAGTGCAGGCGCGTTAGCTGATCCGCAGGGTCGTGCAGGGTCGACGGGAAGTCACTCTGCCCACTTGGGGCGAAGGGAGTTTCGACCCAGCTTGCCTTGCGACCATCGTAGCTGCCAGTGGAATGCCAGAGCGCGAGCTGCCACGAGCCAGGAGCAAGGGTTTTGGGGACCTCTAACACAGCGTGAAAAGTCACACTGGTATCCTTTAACTGGGTGATCTGCTCCAGAGGCGGGTAGGTTACGACGAAAGGGGACATTTTCAGGACGAGACCTGTTGGTGAATGAGCGATATGCTCGATGTCGATCGTGGCAGTGGGATCGAGAGGATATCAAGAGTGACATACACTATGACGAAGCCGGAGGATTAAGAGATGTAACACAATAACTGTATTGAAGGTAGGGGGCAATTCATGCAGGGTGGTTATGATGTTAAACAATGATATGTCTGTCAAGAGGTATGTTGATCCTGTTCAGCCTCTCTGGGTGAATGAAACTCAGGAAGGGAAGAAGCCAGGTGGTAGGCGTGGGCTCGTTGTGAGAAGTCGGATTGAATAGACCATAGGAGTCAGCTAGGGCTAGTTGCAGCTATCCGATCGATGGCACTAACTCCCTAGGACACGTGTAGTGCCGTAGGCTACTACGTACGGTACGAACCTCGGGAGAAATATTCCCAACTGTAAGTAGTACATACGAGACGTGGGTGAGGAAGCTCTTCCTCGGAATCGCTGAAAGATCGGGATGCTTGCGGACTATTCCAATCTGGGGAGTAGCAGTACATAGCTCGAGTCGAGCATGATTCATCTTCTTGGTAGTGATACGAGCAGTTACAGTGAGCTCGATTGTGGATGGCCGAGATGAGAGGCGAAGAGGGGATCGATTTTGTAGACCTGATGAGTAGTGCCACCAGATGGTCGATCTCTGAACGGAAAAACGAAGGCACGGACGACTTCGATACCCGCTTGAAAAAGAAAAAGGTAGATACTGTAGACAGCCCTACCGGACACAGTCGAGGTATCTCTGTGCTTAGTTGATGAAATGCAACCTCAAACTCCCCTCAAATAGCCTTGGCAATGACATGGGAGGTCGATGTGACGGGAAGAAATGGGCCGGACAGGTGAGCTGCCTCTGCCTGTGGTGAGCTACGGGAGCTGGGGGCATCCCATGGAGCACGGAGCTGTTTGCTGGCTGGAACCCTTGATGAATGTTGTTTCGCTTGTTTGTGGGAGAGGGGAAGCTTCCTGACGCCCAGCTCCGTCGCTGACCCCTAACCCTCGTTCCGACTGGGGCTAGCACAGGCTTTTGTGTTCCCCACTGGCTGAAGATCGGTCCTGGCCAATCGAATGGCTGAATTTCCAAGCCAAGTACCCGGCTTCGCGCAAGTGCACGGACCCGTTCTTGTTGCCGGGCCTTCCCGAGCTGGCCTTGGAAGTGAGGCAAAATTAACGACTTTTTTGATGTGAGCAGCTAGTAGAGGTCCTCACTGTAGCATCCTTTCCTTCAAACCGCTCATTCCCCCCCCTTCAAATCACCGACCTCCATGGCTTCCCGGAGACTAGCTCTCAACCTGGCGCAGGGCGTGAAGGCCCGCGCTGGGGGTGTTATCAACCCTTTCCGCAGAGGTCTTGCTACTCCTCACAGCGGCACCGGCATCAAGACCCAGACCACCACCCTCAAGAATGGCTTGACCGTGAGGACGCCCGCCCTCCCCTCCCCCGGCCTCCGAGCCCGCCCCCGAGCCCGCCTCCGGCCCGACTGTCTTCCTCCCCGACTGCTGCTCCGGACCCCAAGCCACCTCCAGACTTGTCCTAACGTCAATTGCTATCACAGGTTGCTTCCCAGTACTCTCCCTACGCCCAGACCTCCACGGTTGGCATGTGGATCGATGCCGGTTCCAGGGCCGAGACCGACGAGACCAATGGCACCGCCCACTTCCTCGAGCACCTTGCCTTCAAGGTACGCCCCCGATGTTACGAGTCACGAGTCCTCTCCCCGGGCTGTGGTTAGCTTTGATATGGCGCGTTGGGTTGTTGGATCGGTAGATTGTATGAGAGGGCATCTGGTTAATTCGACGACGACACGCAGGGAACGACGAAGCGCACTCAGCAGCAGTTGGAGCTCGAGATTGAGAACATGGGCGCTCACCTCAACGCCTACACCTCGGTTCGTCTGATCTTGTCGTCCGGCGCATCCGCCGCCCGCTAACCCGCGAGCACAGCGCGAGAACACTGTCTACTTTGCCAAGGCTCTCAACGAGGACGTCCCCAAGTGCGTCGATATTCTCCAGGACATTCTTCAGAACTCCAAGCTTGAGGAGTCCGCCATCGAGCGCGAGCGCGACGTTATTCTTCGCGAGTCGGAGGAGGTTGAGAAGCAGCTCGAGGAGGTCGTCTTTGACCACCTCCACGCTACCGCCTACCAGCACCAGCCCCTCGGCCGCACCATCCTCGGCCCCCGTGAGAACATCCGTGACATCACTCGTACCGAGCTCGTGAACTACATCAAGAACAACTACACTGCCGACCGCATGGTTCTCGTTGGCGCCGGTGGCGTCCCCCACGAGCAGCTCGTCGAGATGGCCGACAAGTACTTCTCCAAGCTCCCTGCTACCGCCCCTGTTAGCAGCGCTTCCATCCTCTCCAAGAAGAAGCCCGACTTCATCGGCTCTGATATCCGTATTCGCGACGATACCATCCCCACCGCCAACATTGCTATCGCCGTTGAGGGTGTCAGCTGGTCCGACGACGACTACTTCACTGGCCTCGTTACCCAGGCCATCGTTGGCAACTACGACAAGGCTCTTGGCAACGCTCCCCACCAGGGCAGCAAGCTCAGCGGCTTCGTTCACAAGCACGACCTCGCTACCAGCTTCATGAGCTTCTCTACCAGCTACAGCGACACTGGGTAAGCACGCTCCTGTTTGGTTTCGGACCTTTTTTTTTTTTTTTTTTTATTTATCATCATTTTTCTCTTTCTGACGTACAACTACTGACATGGCAAACTATAGTCTCTGGGGTATCTACCTTGTCACTGACAAGCTCGACCGCGTTGACGACCTTGTCCACTTCTCCCTCCGCGAGTGGACCCGTCTCTGCTCCAACGTCAGCGAGGCTGAGGTTGAGCGCGCGAAGGCCCAGCTCAAGGCCTCCATCCTCCTCTCCCTTGACGGTACCACCGCCGTTGCTGAGGATATTGGTCGCCAGATCGTCACCACCGGCCGCCGCATGAGCCCCGCTGAGATTGAGCGCATCATTGATGCTGTCTCCGCCAAGGACGTTATGGACTTCGCCAACAAGAAGATCTGGGATCAGGATATTGCTATCAGCGCGGTCGGCAGCATCGAGGGCCTGTTCGACTATGCCCGTATCAGGGGTGATATGAGCAGGAACGCTTTTTAAGCGATAGGGAGCAAGAAGGGGGCCGGGTTCTGTATTATAATCGGTGTTACATTCCAGCCCAAAATCTGTACTCTAGGGTCGGAGGCTAGACATAGAGCAATCAATTTCCATGCGTACAAGTTTCACGGTACAGGTTCGGTCGGTTAACAGGGTCACTCAATGATTACTATGGTATGTTGCAGGGCGGGAAAAGCGAGGGAGGTAGAGGCTGTGATTACCACTTCAATTACGGATTTCTGGCATGGTTTGCGAATCTTTGACGACATTGTGCTTCACTTGCTTACGCCAGGCGAGAGGATAAGCAGGACAAGAACAGGATTAAACGATGCGAGACTTGCCACGACGCTGGAGTTGGACGAGACCGCATCCAGGGCTTTTCGCAACACGTTCATCTGCAGCCAAAATCTGTGATGGTGGTATCCGAAGGGTTACCATGAGCCGATTCCTAAATCGCAGTCTGGAACACGCAGCGTGGTGTTGGGTGTGTTGACAAGAAAGTATACAGACTATTAGGCACCTTGCAACATGAAGATTACACATGCTGTAATGCCTGCTTTGCTTGGAATCTCTACGCGGGCTGGGCTTCGGCAGGTGGCACAGACCAACCGGAGCCGGGAGCTGGGGTCACGGTACGGACCTGAGATGAGACAGGTGTGACAGGGCAGTGGATGCCGGGGTACGTACTTTGCTTCGCTACCTACGCAGTAGGTAGCTAATGCCCGGCCTTATCGTGTTGGTGGCGATCGATTTTAGCGCAGGTGGGTGCAGTGCGCACGGGGCAACAAAGCCTTTCAGCCAAACAGCAGTCGAACTTTTGGCACTTTAACGTGACGTCCAGTGCAAACTCGGGCCGGTGACCATCCTAAGCACCGCCCTTGTTCTGTCGCGCCTTGTCTTGATCTGACCTCCCCGTCTGACCCTTTCCTATCTGCAGATCCCTCCCCCGAACACATTCCCCCCGGTTGTTCGGTTGCTGCACGCTCTCTTCGACTCGCTGTCTGCGAAGCGAACTTGCGCCGGTCGGAGGCGGCATATATCCATCAGCTGCGAATCAGTACTTTTACACCTCAACATCGAATTCTCCGTCTTTATCGCGGTCATGATTCCCCAATCCGTCCGACGGGTTGTGGCTGCCGCGCCGCAGTCGCCCGTTGTCTCCTCTCTGGCAGCCTCGTCCGCCCCTCGCGCCGGCGCCTCCTATATACTCTCGTCCTATCAGCCCAATGCCCTGCAAAAGCGACGATACTCTTCCTCCAAGCCGTCCAGCCCCGATGACGGTTCCTCCAGGGCCTTCGCTGCCCGCGCCTCTGTGCCCGCCGCCGGCACCTCCAAGACTCCTGGAGAGAAGCGCAAGCGCAAGGCGAAGGAGCCGGTCATGCCGCCACTCCCCAGCGTGCCCAGCACCAGGCATATCAAGGACGAGGGTTTGTTTATCCGCGCCTTTTGTTGCACAGGTTTAGAGTCAGGTCGCTAACAAGACGTTCTAGCGCTCGCCCTTTCAACGTTCTTCGCCCTCCACAGGCCGATTTCAGTCACTCAACTTCTTCCCAAGACCGTGACCGAGGAGTCATTCGCCGAGATCTTCAACCACCGCAAGGGACATAAGGCGACCGATGTCCTTTCGACCTTGTCGCAGGCCGTACACGATCTCGAGTCGCCCATGTCTGGGCTTAGGCTCTCCGATAACGATGTCGAAGACGGCTCTACCAAGATCAGCCTGAAGCACCCCGACGGCACCGAGTCCGATGTCTACTTTCAGCTAAACTCCATGTCCGGCCACTTCCTTCCCTTCAGCCCTCCTCCGCCGCCGGAGCCTATCGCTGAGGTTGACGAGGCCGCTGCGGAGGCCGAAGCCTCTGCTGCTATCGCCGAGGAAATTGCCGCCGCCGAGCAGGAGCCGGAAACGCGCGTGTACAAGGCGGTTGTCACGATTGAGGAGACGAGGAATACCAACGGCCAGTACAAGATCATGGCACACAGCCCACAACTCGTCGAGGACGATGCTGTGCAGCCGCGCAGCTTCCTGGAGCGCCTCGCCCTGCGCCAGATTCGCTATGAGGAAGCTCGCCAGCAGCAGGGGATCATGCATGCTATCAGCGTGCGCAGGCAAAAGAAGCTGAAGATCAAGAAGAAGAAGTACAAGAAGCTCATGCGCAGGACAAGAAACGAGCGTCGCAAGCAGGATAGACTCTAAACCACGCAAGGGTTAATCCGGCCGGTAGATGCTTATTTTCTTTTTCTATACCTCACCTGCAATGTACAATATCCTCTCCATATACTCACGCTCACGCTGACTAACCACCAGGTGCCTCGTTATCCAGTGATCACTGTGCATTGTTTGAAAGCTTCATGGCTTCACTTGCTTAGTTTTTTTTAACGGGGATGTTCTCTTGGTTGGCTTTCTTTGGTCTCAGCATATTTGCACTTTTGAGAACACAAAAGAGGCAAGCTCTGTAGGTTAAGTAGGTATCAGTCGTAAGTAGCAGAAGAGATCAATATCCTATCAGAATACGCTTAATAGACTCCGTGTAACACCTTTGATGTGTGTGTTGCGTCCACTGATTGATTGAGCGTAGGCCTTTTCATTACCCTGTCAGTTGCTCTTCAGGCACCATGCGTTCTCGCTTGTCATGGGTCACCTCTCAAACGACGTATTACGAGTTCTTGTTGGGTAGGAAAGACTATCATGCATCCGTCCATTAGTTCTAAGATGCCAAACGCCCCGGTGTAACCCATTCTATATTCTTGATCATTGACTCATAGCTCAGCTTACCATCCCCTTTCCCTCACATTATTCCAGCCCCTCAAGCAACACTCTTCCTCAGATACTCCAACCACTGCTCCAGGGTCCAGCTAGAACTAACCTCCCCTGCCACCACCCCATCGAGAATCACCGTAGGACTCACATGCACGCCCACCAGTCTCGCCATCTTGATCACTGTCTTCAAATCATTCGTCACCGCATTGCCCACATTTAAACTTCCATCATCTCCCTTCTCCGTCGGGATAGCCAACAGCTCATACAACTCCCTCTCATCAACCCCCGCGCTTTGGGAAGCTAACTTCGCCAGCCGCTTATACGTCTCATTCCGCGTCTCGTTCACCAGTGAAACGTCGAAATAAGCCTTCTGGTCTTTGAACAGAGCCGCGCTGAAGTCCCAGAATTTGGTGGGGGCTAGACGTTGTACGGCGAGCCCGGCTTCGTGGGTTAGGGTGGAGGAAGGGTGCCAGGGTTGGATTTGGTGGCGAAAGATGAATTGGACTTTTGAGCCGAGGTCGGCGTGCTCGGAGCGGAGAGAGGGGAGGAGGGTGGTGTAAAGGGTGTTGTAGATTTCTATTGTTTGGGTTGGGGAATCGTGTTATTCATGTGATTGCTTTTTTTTTTNTTTTTT